TATATTAGTTTAGATACATTATTTTGCAAACTTACACACACAAAAAAATCAATCTTGAATTTTAGGTGGCCTATTTGTAAGGCAGCAGTGTATTATGTCCTTCAGACAATATGCATTTGCTTACAGTAAATGTCAAGTTAAGGTTTGGACATAGACGGCAAAGGAAATGCTCATATTCACAAACACTATAGGTTATATCCTGCCTCTGAGTACACTGAAAAGGTTGCCATGATATGAGAACATTTCTTCATTGGTGTGACTTTGTGAAGTGTTCAATCATGAGGAGCTTCAGGACACGATGTTTTAAAACATTGGGTACTAGAAGACAAGAAGTCCCTTCCAGAAGTTTAATCCTGCTTTATCCATTTTGAGACAAGTTTTGTTGGTGATCTGAACTCAAGCTGAAGAATTTGGAGGTACCTTCATTATTCCATCTACTTTGTGCAGTACACCGATAACACAACAAAACGTTACCGACACCATGCTCGACAGTTGGCACAATGTTCTTACTGTAGGTCTCCTCCAGATATACTTCTTGTCATTATGGCCAAATAGATCTTGCGTGACTATAAAACCTTTCACCAAGGTATTTGGCTTGTCATGTAAATACATGCATACTTGAAGGTATCATGTCCATGGGGATGTAAAACTGTAAACCGTGACCCTGGTGTTCCAGGACTTTCCAGTCAGGCATAAGCCCCAATGGGTTCTGGGTTGTTCCTGAACATTCTAACCTATTTGCACTTTGTATTTAGAGAGTTTCTTGGACTTTTCCATTATTCTGAGTATCGGTCAATTCAACAAGTGCTGTTAAAGAAAACCTACCTGTTGTGGTCAACCACAAACACTAATGAGAGGTTGCTGTGCTTTGGCCTTGGCAAGTTAAAATACATCCAAGAACATTCAGCACCACTTAAAAAATTGGTTTAAGGACATACTTGAGCCTGTTATTATAAATCTGACCCTGTGTGAATAAAAAGAACACCCGCAATGAATTCTAACACGTGCACCTATTACTTGTTCATAAAAATCATTGAAGTTTTATGTTTTACAATCAGTCAACCCTGGAAAAAGAGCAGTCGAAATAAATTAGTAAAAGTCTTGAATAGATATGGAATTCATGCCCATGATTAGTGGACAAGGTTTTGGTCAATGCCTTTTTTCTCTTTTCTAACTATTCTGGACTACTAATTTGTGTTTTTATAAAACAGCCTCCAGGACACACTCAGATACTGACTAATCAGAACTATACAGGATGACAAAAAAAGGAGCCCATTCAATTAAGGTCATAATGTTCTGTCTGATCTGTTATGTTTCACATGTAAATACTTGCTAGGAAGCTTTTACACACAAACTGGAAAAAACATATTACTAACAAGTTTTTATGTACAACTGTAGCTTGCACTAAATTTTCCATATAATCATAATACTTTTGCTTTAAAAAGAGACATATCCTTCATTTTCCCATTTGAATCATTCAGTTGTGGTCTATGTAAAGTGGAACTGCAATGCTTTGGTCTGAAATTCCTGTTATTGTAGCTCCACAGGCCCCTCTGTCACCCCATTTCTAAGGTGTGTCTCAGATCAACTTGTTTTGGGGCGGTCAATTTAAACGCAAGTAAGGCATGTCTCACACACACACACATTTGTTTTTATATCCATAGGGGGACTGTGGATTGACTTCCATTCATTTTATGGTAATTTTATATCCTAACCCTGACCATTTACCCAAAAATTAACCTCACAGGTACCTACCTGACCCTAAAACTAACCTAAACTCAATTCACACCTTGGTCCTAAACCAAACCCCACACCCGAAATGAGCATTTGTACCAATGGGGACCGGGCATCGGTCCCCACGATGCACATTCAGTCCGCATAAGGTCGCATTTCTCTGGAAATTGTTCCCACAAGCAAAATCATTCTCGAAGTCGGCGTGATGTCATTTAGTCACGTGATTTCAATCTTCATTTTTTATGGGGGAAAACTGCAGCTGAAGGGAGCAGGAAACACAGTAATCTTGTGGAAAAACCACCGTCGTCCATCATCAGTCTCATCTTTCTCTTAAACCGAAAAAATATATAACCCCCCAGACCTCCTTTTTGACTGAGGCTCAAAGTTATCTGACAATCAGTAAAAAAAATCTACAGGAAGAAAAAAATAAAAAGAGGCGAAATTTGAATGGAGATTGGCAGCAATGAAGAGCTGGTGAGAGCAGGACTTTATTACTTGGGTCTGTGACTTAACATGTTTGCATTTTATCGTTAGTGTGTAGTTTTGAGTGTTTACTCTTCATTTTAGCCAGTTTTAGTGTGTTTTAAATCAAAACAATGAGGCAATTCTTTTTAAACAAGGAGAAGCACGGAGGTTTGCAGAGGCAGAAGGACAACACGTGTCTTATTTCTCTCCCCTCACACTTGCAGTTAGAAAAAATAATAATATTTTATCTCTGGATGTTTTTTTATGTGAGAAGTGCAGTCCTACAGCAACTTTTCACCATTTTTCATATTTTCCACAAAGAGGAACTCATCCTATTTTACCCCAAACCAATATGTCAGCCTCCGTCTACAACATGGTCATGTGACAAAGTACCTGGCTGTTCGACTTTGAGAATGCGCACACACACACACACACACACACACACACACTTGACAGCGGAGGTATGATGATTTAGTAGTGCAGAAACTTTCTATTTACAATTTATTTAAAAGATGTCAACAGTGTAAGACTTGTCCATCCAGTCTTACATATTGGAGCCTGAGTCTGACCCAGAGTGAAAGGAGAATGAAGACGGTGAACCTGCAGAACCGTGAATTTGTGAAATTGGTTAGCAAAGTCCATGACTTTATTTAGCAGTTCTGCAACAAATATTGTGACATTATTGTTCAAAATACATAGTAAGTAACAGATAAAACTGAATGGATCAAGTAGGATTTGTAAAAACACTGGTATCGGGCCCAACGTAATAGTTTAGGAAACGTCATAGAAAATAGAGAAAACTGAACGAGTTGAAACATATGACCCAAAGAGAATATAAAGATATCTACACAGCACCGGGAGGGACTAAATTCAACTTTTCTGCTCTCTTAGAGAATCCAAGTACACAATAAAATGCATTTAAGAGCTAAAAAAAATGCATTTGCATTGATATGTCCCATTTAAACTTTGCCTGTTATTTTTACAATTATAATAAACTACTGAATAAACTACTGCACTGTTCTTTACTGTTTTTGGTAAAAAAAAAAAAAAATTAAAATAAAGTAAAAAGCACAGAAAGGTCCTTCTGTCCAAGTTTTACTTCCATTAAAGATTTAACAAAACTGCATAATTTAAGATCTTTCACACAAGAAACGGGATTACTGGAGTGTGTTGTTTTCTCTGCCATCGTGTTCCTACAGTAATTGTATCAAGCTGGGACTTAATCTGCTAGTTCAAATCGGAGACAGGCAGGTGGAATAAAAAAAAACCAAACATGGAGAGAACGATTCAAAGACACAAACCTGTTTATAAAGCCAGGCTTCATATCCAGGCTATGAATGATGAAGTCTCGGAGGACGTGCGAGTTTAACTCGATATCTCCGATAATGCCTGAAAGATGAGTCGAAGAAGTTTTCTGATTAATTTCTTTCTTTCGAGACATTAAATGGACACAGATCTTAAAACTGTTAGTACCTTTGCGCTGCTCATCCAGAGTTTTCCCATAATTCACCCTCCCCCAGTTCTCCACCAGCAAGCCCAGAGTTCTTCTTTCCTTCAACACAAAAATACAATAAAAAATAAAAATGTCAAAACTCTCACAATAACAAGAACAGAAGGTATCGTTTAGCATGTATGATTAAATCACAACTTCACTTTTTTTAAGATTTAAGTTGTGATTTTTCAAAACAAGCACTTGTTTGAAGATTTGGTGTTGTCCTCACTCTGGGACCTCTGGGTCAAATCATTTGTTTACATACTTAGAAGTTTTCAAATGATGTGGTTTGTTAAATATTAACTTTATCTATTTGAAACTACAGGACACAAATGCTCATTACCTTCCCATCAGGTATAGGGAGTTCTTGCACCTTGTAGTTCAGAACACCAACAAACTGTTTGTCCACAAAAACCTAAAAAGGAAAAAAAAGATGTAAAGAAACTCTTAGACTATAAAAATGCACATTAAAAAAATTCTTGGCATTCATTTTTTTCAATTACTGCCTGTGGAAGGTTTGCAGATTTTAAAATATGCTCATGGCCTCAGAACCCTTAATTCTTTACAATCAGGGATGTGATTTCTGATATTTTAACTTTGGACACCAACAAGTTTAAATGTCTCTAAGTTGTCATCCGTCCTTACCAGTGCTCTGTCTCGGATGTTGCCCTTTGAGTTTAGGGACCCTCCGCTGGTGATGGTGGTCTCATACAGCGTGTAGCCGTAAGACTGACCGTTGTTGTTGTTSACAGGGAGGTTCTCCATGTTCACTGGCCTCTCGGACTTCAAAGGCTGAAAATGATGTGGCAAAAATTAGACCTTGTGCTTTTTAGGAACGTGTTGCAWGCATCAAATTAAAATTGAGWGAATATTTGAAAAGAAAAATCAATAAAGTTTATCTGTTTGAACATTAAATATCTTGTCTTTGTCATATATTCAGCTGAATATAGGTTAAAAAGTTTAGCTAATTCTATTTATGTTTTACACAGTGTCTCAGCTTCCATAAAAATAGGGTTGAAGCAAAAAAAACAACCATTAAAATAACAATCTTAATGCACGTGGAATTTCATAATKTTCCTTCTGGCCATATGACTCGATTTAAAGAGATGAAGAATTGAATCTAATGAAAGAAGCTTTTCATTCAGGAGTACAGAACAGGTCTTCCATTAAGCAGCATTGTTTTACTGTATATACGCTTAGGAGATGCATTATGCATTTTCCAAGATGTGATATACATCACCCTTCGAATATATTATTTTGTAAATTAAAATTATTAAAATTTTACGAGTTGGTTGATTATTATTATTTTGCAGCTTATGTATAAGGCTCATAAAAAATGTTGCCTTTAAACATCCAGTTATATTTTAAGAGAGAAAGTTCTTATAATCTTTAAGGACTTGAGATGTTTGTGAAACCTAGAATTCGAACAAACTCGAAGGACCACTGTACTTCGGTTCAGGGAATAAGATTGTGGAATACTCTGAAAAGTGATTACAAAAATGCCAGTTCAATGTGTTTGTTTAAGAGAAAGATAAAAACAAGTTTGTTAAAGAAAGATGAAACTGTATAATGTATATCTAGGTTCTTGTTTGAGACTGAATTGAAGTTTTTATTTTGTCTTTTTTCCCTAATTATTATTGCTTTAAATTAATTATAGAAAATAGGGGCAGATGTTATAAAAAAATCATTCTGCCTCCTTTCATTTCAATTTGGTTTGTATATTTTTGGTTGTGTATATATGTTGTGTACATTTTTTTGTTTTGAATGTACTGTATATACATTTTTTTTTTGTTTTAAATGAAATGAATGAACAATTAAACTAAACTAATACAAACACATTGTGCTACGGCACCTTATAGCTCCAAAAGCACAAATAAAATATCCAGCTCATGACAATCCACTCAGTATCTGAAGAGAAACCACTCGTTTTAAACAAGRGCGTGTGTGTGCTGGTCAGGAGCAAAGTAATTGGTGTCTCAGAGGGAAGCAAATTATTGCAATGGGGACTGAATAATTAATGCAGTAAGAATCACCAGACGTACTACACCTGGTTTGAATATGAATGCCTCTGAGGAACATGGTGTAAAATGCTTAAACTAGACTAGTGGACACAAAAGTGAGAAGATACCGTCACACTGTTCAGATTGTTGAAACAAATGTGGGGTTTTTATTWATTTATTTTTGGTCATTTTCCTTCTTTGGCAATGGGAGGGTTTACTGTTTCATTCAGACTTTATCTCCAACAACAACAAGCTGTTTTACAGTCGTAAAGCTGCTCAAGGCTGATTGCTGCTATAGTTTAGAGGGAAACATCCTGCTCACCACCTAGTGAGCAGCGTCAGCCACTCTGTTCCTCTGAATGTGGAAATAAATATTTAGGCTCATTTAGGTTCATCAGAGCAGGTAACAGTCCTGTTTGGTATTTATAAAATGGGATGTTTGCCACAAGGGATCATTTGTCAAAAGCATATTGTTAAAGATTATTACAGTAAGGATTCTCRAACTGTGGGGTGCAACCACTCTTATTTTTTTGGTCTGTAGAAGGAACTGTAGATTAGATGTTGTTACAACTCTGACTCATTTTTGTGTTACACAAACTGTGCTACCGTAGAGATTAGACGGATTGGCATGCTGACCAAAGCTGCTTCAAAGCAAAGAAGACAGAAATATGAGATATTTTGATGTTGGAATTACAGTAAAAACAAATTTAAAATGGTCTGGTTGTGTGGCTGAAATTGTCAGCTGACAGAATTAAGCCTAAAAAAATCATAACACAAATTGAAACATTACACCACAGCAACTTAAACATTCAAAGCAGAAAWTTTACTTTAAAAAAACTGGCATCTGTAAAGATAAAACACTAAACCTTAAATACTGTAATAAAATCAGCTCTTAGTGATTTAAGGTAGGCTTCAAAATATTCTGCCAAACATCTGTCCATGCTTTATTTTTGCACAACTTGAACTGTATTATTTTGGAGGGGGGGGGGGGTTGGACAATAACACAGTGAAACCTTTAATTGGAACAATTATAGCCACGATACATTGCGGTAATCCAGGTAAAAACATACATTATACATCGGGGAAACAAAGCAGCCACTGGTCAAAAGAATGTCCCAACACAGACGAGCTACATCTAATGGCCAGAACTCTGCAGTTTTCACTCATTTACAGGCCAGCGGTCACTCTTTCAGAGATGAGGATGTTCTCATTCTTGATAGAGAGGAACGTTGGTTTGAGAGAGGAGTAAAAGAAGCCATTTTTGTGAAGAAAGACCGTCCATCATTAAACAGAGGTGGAGGCCTCCGTTTTCAGTTGTCCCCCTCCTACAGTGCTGTTATTGCCAGTATCACTCCACCCCCTGTTAACAATAAGTGTTAATTAGGTGTCAACGATAGCCATGTGATGTGAGTATCAGTCACATGGARGCAGGGCTTAAAAGCCTGAATTTTGCCTGAAACTCTCAGACTGAAGAAGTCTCTTGGAGGAGAGACGAAACGTTTCATTAGAGAAGAACCCGTCCAGAAGACCTATACATTTTTTTTCTTTTTAATTATAGCCACATGAAAAAGTTTGATTTTTATTGGACTGATAACATTTCTTTGTATTTATTCAGTAATGTGTGACTTACGGTTGACTTTAAGCAGCAAYTTATATTTTTACAAACTATCCAGATTATTTTTTTAGCGACAATTTGTTGTGAGTTTGTAACGCTCACCTTTTCTGTTAGGTGCAGACTGCTCCACAGAGACAGTTGCTTCTGGATGATCACAGGCTGATACGCTCTTTTCTCCTGAGGGGAGGGCAGCTCAGGGAGAGGYTGGGCTGAAAAACCAGGAGGAAACATGAGCACGCTTTGTCTGTCATTATGCTTTATTCTAATAAGTGATCTGTAACAATGGAATAATTACATGAACGTTTTTAACTTAAGAGATTAAAGGTATTTTTAACATCCTGGGAGCATTTGAGAGATTAAAATCATTTCATACAAAATAAAATAAAATGAAATGAAATAAAATAACAAGAAAAACAGTAAAATCACTTTCCATTAGGAACCTCCCACTGAACTAATAATCTACTTAGCCATTTCCTGTGTTGCAAAGAGGTTTTTAAAATCTACATCCCCATCCYTCAATACAAATATTTWAAAAAAATAACATTTTAACATCTCCTTGGGTGAGCTCTTTGCCAGCTTGTGTTCTGGTTGACAAAACAGTCTCTTTACAAGCGTTACCAGCAGTCGTCCAGGTCCGTCAGCTGCTTTTAAAGGTGTTAAAGCTTACAGAAACACCTGCAGTCCCTCTWGGAAAGGCTCGACAGCCTTTCCTTATCACCAAACGGTAAAAGCTGCCTCACTTAAAGGCAGGTTTGAGGCTAATGGTTCACACTTTTTCTAAACAATGCTTTCTAGGTCCAACACATCAACACTTACAAGTCGGAGCAAGTCAGCAGAGTTGTGCATCGTGTAGACCGTGGCAAGAAGGAATTCATTTTTTCAATGCAACGACTTCCTTTTCTTACTCCTACAACTTTTTGGTACGTATACAAATTATACATCAGCTTTGATTGATTTTCACCCCCAGGATACAGAGGGTGCAAACTTATGCTTCCACAKACTTCAGTTATATTTTAGCTCAAAATATTCTCATCAAAACTGAAGGTGAAGGGTTTTCTCAACATGTTAGAACTGAAAAAAACTGTAGAAACATAAAAAATTAATGCAGGTGATCATTAGTCTCCTGTAGCTCACAGTGCAAGATTTTGTAAGATCTAATTTATAGATTTTGCACAGCAACTTTTTGGTGGCATGCATCACATACTGTATGAGTGTGTACTCAGAGTGTGTGTTTGTATGGAACTGAGTTTATGTTAATATTCAGATTACGCAATTTAGCTTGAAAATTCACAAATAAGCATGAGAGAAAAAATGTTCCTTACTGTATTTATGTATTTTTGTACTGTATTTTCTGTATTTCTGGTATTTGTGAAATTTCAGTGATTCCAGCAAACTACTAGTCATTACATTCTATGAAAACCTTAATGAAAGACTGAGTCCTCAAGCTGTGAAACAAGACATTATGAAGATTCATTGTATAAAGTCAAATGTAGACATTTTTTCTACACTTAAAGCATGTTTACATGTACCTACATGAAATCTGAAAACATTAATGTATTTTCTATGTTGATTGTGGCAAATAAACACATATATCAGTGACCCTGAAAGGAAGATTATCCACTAGCATAGAAATTATGAGTTTCCCCAAAAATCAGCATCATGTAGACTTGTCCWAAGATTATTACAAAATTTATTCTTATTTTAGCTACTGCTTTGGTACAGTTCTTTTTTTTTTTTCAGAATTGTTGTTCGTTTAATGTTATACAACATATTYTTTGACAATTTTTGACAGCTGTGAAATGATAAAACTAAATTGTGTCTCAGGTCTTTTTTAAGAACCGTAAAAAATGTTCACCCTATAATGGAGGAGAACAGATTCATGTCAAGTTCTGCCAAAACAAACCCACTGTAAAAAATAAAAAATAAAAAAAAACAGTAACTGATGTGATTTACATCATCTGACAAGCAAACCATAATAACACATCAACTGGATCTAATTAAAGAATTGGGTCATGTGTTTGTGGTTGCTGAATAAAACACAAAGGAGGCTCATATCTGCTTGCTCGTATTCGGGCCACTGCTCATTGTTCAGCAGACTCCGAAACATAAGGATGAATCATGCTCAGGCAGCCTTTTAAACTTTCTTCARTCACCTCAGAGCTGGGCAAATTATTACTCTGTCGGGTTGGATTTTGTTCCCACATTGTCAAACGCTCATTCTGGCCACATAACTGTTGAGGCTTCTGCCCCCTCCCAACCACAAAACCCATGTTTTACAAACAGGAGAAACTGTACAAACAACAAACAGGAAGTGTGACCTGTTTGTATGTTTACAAAGGTCATAATTGGAGATTTTTTTTATTTTTGAAGCAGGATGTTTGCACACACGTACAAACACCCACCTGTAACAACAGAAAGTTATCCTGCTCCATCTAAGAGAGAACAAGTTCTTCAAGGAGAATTAAGTGGGGAGATGAAAGGGATGGAGGAGGAGGACAGGCAAGAGGAGCACAGGCCCATCTCAGCAACAACGTACAACACTTACTGTGGTAGTGGCTGAATAAATTCCTCAGAAGATGATACTTGGTGGTGTAATCCCCAGCCTCGGATAATGGAGCGTCGTAATCTGAAAGATAATGCGCTATCAGAACAGCAGGCTTGGGAGCCCGGGAGAGGCAGGGGTGCCTCTTACCATGGCGGATGCTTTTTTGTGCTTCCCCTATCACTCATCTTGAGGCAGCAACGGGCCGTAACACATTCTGGGTTATCTTGACAGAAAAAGGAGCCATTTGGAGGCAAAAAAAAAAAAAAGGAAAAGGCTTTCAAAAGGGTAAACACACATAGAAAGGACTGCTGAAGGTCACAGGTAGATTTTCTCACTCATAAGGAAAACAGAACGTTTGGTAGAGTTAAAAAGATAATAAAACATATACTATCTTTAACAATAAATTTATCACCATAAGCTTGTTAAAAAACCTTCAGAAACAGCTGTTATCTGATGAGACTACCAGACAAAAATTACAATTTAAGTTTTTCTTTTATTTTTTTCTTGCCTAGCTTCTGCTATTGCCATAATATTGTTGGTTTAACTCCAGCTCAATACAAAACAACACAAAAGCCCAAAAATGTCAACTGATTGCTACTCTAAAATGAGTAGCTAAAGGTTATGTTGGCAGTAAACACAAAATTCAGGCTTTTAATTGTGTTTCTATAGTTGAAAATATTACTTTAGCAACTCCTAGCAGTCAGTTTGGATCTTTGAGATGAGAGTTAAAAGGAAAGCAGAGTTTAAGTTCAAAGCAAATAAAAAAACAAGCAGATTTTTAGAAAATGAACTCATCAAGTTTAGACATTTTGCCAAATGTAGTCTGTCGAGATTAACGTCAAACCTGAAAAACGCACCAGTCTCTACTTGTGTTTTGTAGAGTTTCTGAGTTTTCTTTGAATGTCAAAAGACTAGCATTTTAAAAAAACAAATCTAAGTCCCAGCACTGTGTAGACATGAACCTGGCAGGCCCATCTGGCATCGTTCACAGTGAGAGAAGCACAGCTCTGAACATTTCATCATAAAAATTATTTTGAGTTTTACTCATTAGGAAAAATCTACTCATCAGATTACGGACAGATTCAATAAAAAGCAATGCTGCCTGTTGAAACATTACATAAACTGAATAAAACTAGGATTAAAATTTATAACGCTTGAATGTTGATATGAAGTTTATTCTACGTACAAAAATGTAAATCTCACTCTCAAAAAGCAGTGAAACATCATTCCCATATTTCCCTAAGAAAAAAAACTGAAAAATATCACAATCTACTCAAATGTTTATTTACTTTTAAAGGAAAATTTACTTGTTGATTTCTTTTTTAAAAATTTGTTTGCAAAAAATCAGAAAAATATTTCATTCTTCATACTCACCATAGCTTGTTACCATAGGCTTAGGTGCTGGTAGTCCAACAGCAAGTGCACCATTCATGAAGCCAAAATTGGTTCCTCCATGAAACATATAAATATTGATGGACATGTCCAGCTTCAGAACTTCTGTCACTACTCGTGCCATCTCTGTCATAAAAAAGTTGTTAAAATACATAGTTTAATTCATGTACAAACACATCATGTCATAAATGGAAAATAACAAGATGGAACCCAATGCCAACCATTGCTGACGTCCCCCATCACCCTTTAGTAATGACCAGCTGTTCGCAGTTTTGTTGGAACCATCACAGACCTTCATTATTTATTACTAATCAAACGTGTTGAGCAGGCCTCCCTGATGGTGCACACAAAATTTAGTTCAGATCTGATCTTGTATGTGTGATTAAGAGCTAACCATGTGCAAACTGTGAGACATCGGCATTTGCCACTCTGACACACCCACACCATCCTGCCACCATCAATGTTGAGAGAAGCGACTTTGATCCAAAATGGCCGACTTCCTGTGAGGATTGGACCATGACTGTCAGACGTTTTGGTAGGCCCTAAGACTTTAAACATGTGTATCAAATTTCAGGATTTTAGGTCCTAGCATTGCTTGAGGCTGATTTTTTTTTTAAATAATCGTAGGGAGTGGTGTGGAGGAATTAGGCCACACCCCCCAAAAATTGGAATGCATTTCTGTAGTGGTAGATTAGGTTCAACCATAGAAAATTGGATGCAGATTGGCAGAAATATGTGGAATTTAGAGCCAAATGTATGTCAACGGCGTGATGTCCACACCGCCATGACCACGCCTTTCACCAAAAAGTCTGTGTTTGAAAGCAAATGAGATCAACTTATTATTTGTGTTATGACCTGGTTTGTTGGAGATTAGGTCAAGAGGGTAAGAGATAGAGCTTTCCAAGCAATAAAGAAAAGAAAAAAAGGTCACTTCCTGTTGTGAGGGTGCGGGGCTTTGATACTGTCATATGAGCATGCAACATGGATGATTCATGCCAAGTTTGGTGTATTTTAGCCTTTCTATGTTAAACTTCCAGCTGTCTGAAGCTGTAAAGGACGGATGGACAGATGAACTCTCTTCTGAATATTCCTGGGTTTGTTTTATTATTATGGTGCTTTCTGCATGGTGTTTTTTATTTTTGCTTCAATCAGAAAAAAAGCTTTGAGCTAACACTGTGAAACACCCAGCAGCCAAAAGAAACAAAAAAAATAAAATAATTAAAAAGAATCATTTTAAAAGTGTGGCTGCCAAAAAGCTGTACAGTTACGGAAAATAATCTGTCAGTCATTTATGCAACTTTTTGCAACATCTATGTATCATCTTTTTGAGTGATACATTTAAGCTACCCTTCATCCCTTCATCACACTTCAAAGTGGTCTTGAGTAATAGCTTTACAGGCTTTTCTATGGTTGTTGTTTTTTTTTTTTTTTTTTTTTTTTTTTTTTTTTTTTTTTTTTACTTTTTCCCATTATTTTCATTTCAGGCATCATAAAGAAATATATTTTTGTGTAATACACTCAACACTAATCTATGAGTCATTCAGGTATAAACAAAGGCTCCTTCAAGTGATGAGCCATTTGTTGTGTTTCAATGAAACAATGAACAGAGTGAGAAGCAATTTGAAATTTGAACTTTTTCCACTTCGTTGCAAGCTTTGAGGKTTTTTTTTAATGCTCTGTAGTTATTTTTTTTTTGTTGTTCATTGCTGGATTTATTCCCTTTTGGTTGTCATTTGTTTAGTTTCTGTGTTTTGTGATACTTGTGTTTAGATCTGTTCTTGGTATCACCTTTCCTCAGCTCCTGCCCCGCCCACATACACCTGTTCCCAGTCAGCATTAGTGTCATCTGTCTTCAGTCAGTTAAAACTCAGACGTTTTTCCCCACACAGCCGTCCATCACTGCGTGATTCACAACCTGTCAGCTTCTCCTCTGTGTCTCCACGAGTTTCCATTTGTTATTGTGATCATACTTTTTCCCTTTTGTTTTGCAATCATTAAGTTTTTATTTGAAATCTTCAATTAAAAATCTTTGAGTCTTCACTATTCTTGTTTAATCTTCCTCTAACTGTGACACCAGCATTCAGTTTCAAAAAGATTAAATTGGTCTTACTTGTTCAATTACATCTCAAAGAAATTCCAGTTAGGCACAAAATAATTTACAAGCAATGTGAGACACAACAAAAAGTTATGCATCAACAGCRTTAAACAAACTATTAACCATCTTTAGAGTCACTGACAGGACTGAGAAAATTAGAAGAAATAAATTTATATTCTGGAAACTGCTCTCACAGACTTGTACTGGCTTTAAATATGAATTATAGATAAATTACACAGATTAAAACAAAGTTTAGTTTATATAATAAAGTAATACTAAATATAGACGTTAAACTCAAACGGTTGCTGGATAATTAGTTATTACAATGTACTGGATAGTAGGGTTGGGCAAAATCATATTAAATGCAATTATTCGTCAGAAAAACTGTCATGACCATTATTTGGAATAATGCAATTACTGCGATTAGTGCGATTTGATGTTGACATGTTTTTATGTGTAAAATATCAAGCACACATGCAAGCCCATAATGTAACAACAATGGCGGAAGGGGACCCTAGGCCTGTCAGGATAAGTAATAAATCAATCAATTGCACGATAAATTWAAATTAGGTTGATATTTTTCATTTGCCCGATTCTTTGTGTCRCTCTCTTTTCTGCTCCTTACCGTAGGAAGGGGTGAACCCTGTGAACAGGCATTTAGCTAGAGGAGCGTATTCACTTTTTTAAACATACATAAATTTCATAAACTTCCATAAGTTTTAGTAAGCTGGGGGTGGAGAGWGGTTGGTGGGGTGGGGTGTCATTCCAAAGGATAGGATAGGAAGGTTTATCGAGATAATAATTTTTGAGACGATTTATTCTCCAGCAAAATTTGTTATCGTGACAGGCCAAGGAGGCACGAAGCAACAAATGCTAGCACTAAAAGTTTAATCACCTAAAACACCGTTATTAATGGGAGTACAAGGACAGACCGAAAATGTGAATTGAGGCCACGATGTCGGCTACAACAAACTTTCCTCCAGCGAACGGCAGAAACAAATCTCAGCCAAGAATCTGTGATGTACTCAGTCTGTCCCTTATGGAACAGAAGAAGGAGAGATGGAAGGAGATAACGCAGGCACATTGCGTTGTGAAAAATATGCTGCTGCTCCACATTGTGGAAAAGGTGAGTTCACTGCAAAAAATGTCCACCTAACCAAGTTTTAAAATCTTATATCAGCCAAAAAGTCTTTTTGATCTTGTTTTGAGACTGATTTACCAAACAAGAACTGATTGTGTCAAAATAATAATCTTGTTTTCAGAATGTGTAAGATTATTTATCTTGTTGGTCTGAAAATTTGACTCAAATTAAGTCAAAATTTTCTGCCAATTGAGTAAGAAATTTTTACTTGGTAAGACTCTTGAAATACTTGATTTGACTCAATTTTTTCTTATTTCAAGAATCTTACAGAGTAAAATTTTCTTACTCCATTGGCAGAAAATTTTGACTTAATTTGAGTCAAATTTTCAGACTAACAAGACAAATAATCTTACACATTCTGAAAACAAGAAGATTATTTTGACACAATCAGTTCTTGTTTAGTAAATCAGTCTCAAAACAAGATCAAAAAGACTTTTTGGTTGGATATAAGATTTTAAAACTTGGTTAGGTGGACATWTTTTGCAGTGTTTAAACTCACAGCTTACTAACCAAGAAGTTAGGTTGACTGATGGTATGTATGTACACTGACGGTATGTATGTACAGTAAGTGTACAGTCATTTGAGAACACTGTCACTGATTTACATTAACACACAAGGGCAATTACCATCTATTAATCGACACAGTTATTGGCTAAATGCCATAAATAATTGTTTAGCCAGTATGGCCCAACCCTACATGGTAGTTGAAAAGACAGATGTTTTTGTTTGATTTATTAAAACTTTAATATGCAGGCAGAGTTTATCACATGAGCCCTGGCACCAACAGTGAAGGTTTTATCTCACTAGGCTGCAACTAATTGTGACATATGCGACATGTACATTTTTACACTGAGCCAGGATAAATGGGTTGCAGTAGCTCAGTGATCAGTGCTTCAGTCTTTTCATCCTGAGGCTGCAGGTTTGAGCTCAGGTYGCATCACTGGGCATAAGACRTTTGTCAGATCTTTCATAGGAGGTCACCTGCAGTGGTGACCCCTGCAGCCTTCAGGAAAACAAGAAAACAGTTGCACTGAATTGGTATGGCTACTTCCTACAAGGTTGCACTCAAGTAAACTGCAACACCAAACTAACATACCTGTGAATGACAATAAACCAATTTTGTCTCCAGCCAGTCCCCAAATTGATTTCCAAGGTTGGCAAATCTTGCCTAAGTTGCCCCACGTTTCTCATACTTGTTACTTTTGGAACTTAAATCGACAAGAGTCCAAGACTGTTTCCAGAAGCCCCCCAACGACGGTCGCTATTTTGAGGGGGTAAAAAATTGTCAAGCAAATTTTTCAAACTCATATAAATGTCATTCATAATTTGTCAGAAACAGCTGCGGCCCAGTGAGATCCAGGCAAGAGCAGTCTGCTAGCTCAGCATGTCGATCTTTAGAAATAATTCAGCGTTGACAGAGGAAAAACAAKATAGCAACTTGTCTTGTGCGTTAGCAAGTGTTTCACACAAGTGCATTTTTTTCTGCTGCTGGATGCAGTAGTTTCAGTCCATTGTGCTCAAGTTTTTTTTATTTTTGTCCCTCATGAACAGTGCATACAGATTAGTGTCATAGATCATCACGCTAAGCCACACTTCATCTCCCTGCGCAGTCTGTCCCAAAGTACTGCAGAGTCCAGAGTTTCTTCTAGAGACAGATATTTAGAATTAATGTGGTAGATGGGTTTTATTCTGTTCATCATGGCAGAGTAGGGATGTGAGCTGTAGAAAATCATTCTGTCTCATTCTGTGGAATATTTGTGATTTAAATATAAAAACAGCTATAAATTTAGGCTGACAGTGTCGATGGGATTTAAAACAACCTCATAAGAAAACACCTCCAAACTCTATGCCATTGCTAAAAACAATATTCGTAGAAATTAAAGCAGGTCTTCATTGATAATTATCAAAGAAAATCAAAGTATAGCACCTAGAAATCTGTCCTGTTGGAAAAACCTTTAAATAATTCACAGCATACACCAGGGGGAAAAAACCCACTTTTTTCATTAAAGAGAAACCCTAAAATTCAATTTGAGACATTACAGCTGACCAAGATAAAGGTGAAATGGTGTTACCCTTCTTGGAAGATTATTACACAGCAGGATAACTAAGTTTTCTGGTTTGTTTTAGTGCTTTCATATAATGTGTCCAGCACAATACATCACCTTTAAGACTAGCATCTGGCCCAACAATGGGAAAAATATTGGGATTCTTGATGATACTTTAGATTTCATCACTTTGAGGAAAATGAAAGTGTTGATGGGTCATCCCTCACTAAAGCACATAAACTCATTTTGTGCCAGTTTGAATTTTAGYGAAGCTGACGTGGAATTGCAGCCGGTGCCTAAACCTGGCCACTGAAGCTGTCCAACGTGAGCAAACTCTGACTCCCTAACTTTTTCACATGTAAGTATACAAGGGTGATTGTGAAAGAAATCCAATGGATGGACTGAGTGACTTTTGTATTGAAGGGGCAATATCATGTAAAATCAACTTTTTGAGTTTTATATCATGTTATAATGTTGAACTCTCATAAAAAACATGTCCAAAGCCTTGCTTTGACTCATTCATGCATGTTTGAGAAATCCTGCAGCGTTTTTAGGAAGCCATGCTGAGGAGCAAAACGACAGGTGGGGACCAKAAACGCCCCTGGAACGTGTCTTTAAGCTGAGCTTCTTCATCACGGAGCACACCTCCCCACCCCCGCCCAYGACTCCTGCAGGCTCTCGGCAGTAACAAAGCAAAGTGAAAGTGAAACTTAAACTATCTGCTGAGCTGCTAACTACTTCTCACTCAGTCAAGCTCTTTTCAGATTCAAAATACCTTTGAGGAAATGTATTTTCAGATGCCAAGTAAACTGCGTCATAGCGCACGCGCGAGCCCGCTGCGCGGTTCTTAAAGCTTAAAGACACAGAGGCCAATTTCAAGGCATTTAGAAAAGGAAGTGATGAGAAGATAAGTTTATTTTCTATTTAAACATAAAAACAGCATTTTAATAACAGCYAGAGGTGACATAGATACTTTATTATGGTATAGTATTTAAATGTATGCCTGAGAAACACATAATATTGCCCCTTTAAGACTCAAACTGGAGAACTTTGTTGAACGCTGGGAAAATATGGATTAAGTATGCACACTGCCTTGAATAATAGGACACTGTACCATGATGCATCAAGGAAAAATGAGAGGTGATTTTATAATGCAATACTCATGTTTCTTTTAATCAAAATTTAAAACTTTAAATAAAAAAATCAAGTCAATAAATAGATATACAGAGGCACACAACATTCTCCAAACTTGCATAAACTTTAAAGGGGACATATCATGCAAAATCCATTTTATCAACTTTAATGCATTTTGTTGCACTTGAGTCTCTAGGAGTGCAGAACATTTGATTTTAGTCCCTCCTGGTGCTGCATAGATACGTACCTTTTTATTCTATTGGGGTTATACAGTATTTTTCAACCTGTTCAGTTTGCTCTATTTTCTATGATGTTTTTGAACAATTACATCACCAAATTTGTGATGGAATTTCTAAATAAGGTCTGGACTTGCCAACTAGAATTTTGCCACTGGCTCTGGGTCAGACTCTGACTCCAACATGTAAGGCTGGACTGACAAGTCTTCTGTTGTTGACTCTGCGCTGCTAAACAGTGTTAAACCCCTCTCTCAAACCAGAATGGACCACTCTGGCAGCTGTAGGGGGGAGGGGTGTGAAGCTACTCATTTGCATTTAAAGAGACAGCATCAAAACGAGTTGATCTGAGACACACTTCAGAAAAGGAGTGAAAAGGGGKCTTGTGGAGTTGCAATAAGAAGGAACTCAGACGATACCATTGCAGTTCCCAAACTGAATGATTTAAATGAGAAAAACGATTTAAAAACCTGGTATGTCTCCTTTAACAACTTTAAGCTCTTAAAAAATTAAAAATGTAATGAATCTCAGCCAGTGAACATTTTAAAGTAAAATAAAATAACTACATACTGTATATATGTATATACAGTATATCAAAAGAGAATTTTGCAGAAAATTTGGCTTTTGTGATTTCTTGAAAGATATGTTTTCATTGAAGTTGCTCGTTTGCATTTATTTTTCCATATGACGCTATGTCTATGTGTAAAATTCTAAGTTATCAGCGCTGCTGCTTCCCTTCTGGGAAAATTGGTGACATTTTTCAGTACAAGTCACTGGAGTCTTTGACAAGACAATACGTTTCAATGAATGAAGCTGGGGTTAGAATTTCTGGTTTCTAACGTTAGCCAGATAATTTATCTCACTCAGCCACAATGTTTGTCCTCACCCAAACTTTCCTTGACACAAAGACACTTTTATTCACAGCTAAAAAGGCTCGTCTAAAGCCTCTCTCTCTCTCCTCTAAGCACTAAGGCTCTGTTTTATCCTCAAGACAAGTTGGTTTTACCTAAAGAGATTCTGTAGTGACTTTCAGAACAAAACCCACCTCGGCCCCCGTCTTAAATTAGCCAGAGTTATCGACCCTCGCACACACACACACASAGAGAGAGAGTGAGAGCGAGAGAGAGAGAGATTCACCTTTTACCCTGTCTTTCTCTCATGGGAGTACCTGTGTTTGCAGCTCTGTCTGCCTTTCTACAGACACCCAGAAAAATCCATTTTCTTCTTCTTAACTAGTAATTGTTTTATCCACAATAAAATATGCCTCTTACCGTCAGCATTGWATACATGATGAAGTTCGCCCCAGAGGTCAAACCAGCCAGACCAGTACTCCATCACCAGCTTCGGCTGCTGAGGCTAGGGCAAAAAAACAAGGAATGGTGTTGAGAAGGTTTGTACAAACAAAAAGTAACGATTTGTCTGAATGATCTGGAAATAGCTTTGCTGATTGTATAACATTGAACAAATTATCTGAAAAACAGTCTTGCAAACTGTTTACTCTTTATTTTTAAAAAGTACTGCCATACCTCAAAGTCTATACTTAGTTGTACATGGATCTATTTGCTGGAAATAGTCTGATGTGTCATCAGAGAGTACACAATAACAATGGTTTACTGTATTTATTAAAGACTGATTTACAACAATTCTGCTTACCAACTATGTGTAATAACTTTTTTATGTCTAAGCTTAAGTTTGTTATGAAAATTCTCTTACTTTGATGGAGGAAATATCTAAAAACAAAATAAAATAGATCAATTAGGAGTGTCTCAATACCAGCTTTCCTCATATCAAGTACAAGTATGAGTACTTCAATTTGGATACTTGCCGATACCAAATCCCGAAAACAAGTACTTATCGAGCTAAAACTTAAAGATTAAACAATGCATTTAAAAACACATTTCTTTTATTTAGAACAAAGTGTGTCTCTTTCCTTATAGATCTATAGCCTCTCTGACTGGATCAAATATACAGCCTGATATACAAAGTTGAAACATTTTAAAATAAGTGAAAAATAACAAATTGGATTTTCTTTCAACTTGTATAAATTTCTTAAACATGGAACTGACAGACATTTCACTTGAAATGTAAACTGTAACACATTTAATGTAGTATCAGTACTGGTATCAGTTCCCAGTATCAGGGCACTTTGTACGAGTAYGAGTACTTAATGAATAAATAAAATGCTGGTATTGGTACAGATAATGGTACTGATATCAGGACACCGCTAATACCAATCATTTAAAGATTGTGTTACGTATGACTTACTTGCATTTCATCCAAATGCTTGATGGCTTTCAAGTCCAGTTTYTGAAAGTTGATTGCTTTCAATACTTCAGAAAAACAACAGACAGTTTTWTTAATGTACATTGATCCAATGTAGTGTTGTGATTTCACAAAACTAAAAAGCAGGGGGAAAAAAGTTAGGATGACTCCCTGTCACATTGTTACCAATGCAAAGTTAGGACAAACAGAAGTGTACAAAACTAGAAAACAAAAAAAAATCATAGTTCATATCATCTAGAAACATAATTCACTCTAAAATACTCAGATCGATTTCATTGTATAAATCTAAGAAAAGTGTTAAAGCTCCTTTTTAACCAAATTGGTTCCTGYAGGTTTAAGACTGGTGCTAGACGCAGATCAAAGATGGTTCCAGCTTTGAACTGGTTTGTTTTTCCACAACCACAGAACCATGCTACCTTTACATATACCTCCTAATATGAGTATGAACTTGTTTAGTATTTTCTGAATATGTGTACAAGACCACAAGAGACAGTTTATCATTATAGATACAGTAAGTAGTCCAATTTTTCCAACAAACCCTTGTCTTCCAATCACTATTATAGAAGCGTAGTAATGGTGAAGAAAATGTCACAATGACCTAATAACATTGGTTTCTAATATGAATGTACATCAAAACTCTAAATGTGTCAAAGAAAAGACATGAAATAATTCTTGTTTTTCTTGCACCAGAGCATTGCTGCGTGTGAGCAGTCTAAAAGAGCAACTTTCTGGGGGCAGCACACAATTCTGTGTCAACAAATTGGTTCTGAACTGCAGCAACACAGGCTGCCATTGGCTCAGACCTCCTGTCACTGTGCATAAAAACAACTCACAAACCAACATACTGTGTGTGCACAGGCTTGTTTGTCTGTCAGCCTATCGAACAATACCTCCTTTCACTCCTCCAAGCGTTAGCCCTTTTTTGTCGTCCGAGGTCAGAAGCAGCTCTGTGATGCCCCTGGACACTAACGCCTGGACAAGGACAGGATTAAAAGACACCACTAAACAAAAGCAGCAGAGCTGTGTCCTTAACAAAGTTGGGATTAATGTAAAATTCAAATTACTAAAACAATGCTTCCTACCTCTTTGATGAACGGCACSTACTCGTCGTCTTTAGCATAGGCGCCATATTCGTTCTCCACTTGAACTGCTATGATGGGGCCTCCACGGGAGTACTGCACATTTATTTGCAAATTAAAACAGGATATGTGAGAGGAAGGGATGGCACCTGCTTTTCATAATTTTTAATATGAAAGCAGCTGAAGTTCAACAATACTTTGGAATAAAAATACATTTTTTTATTGATACACTATGTAGAAGAGCTGATTTGGAACACTAATGGTGCGTTCACACCGAACGCGATTTCAGCGTCAAAATCGCAGCCAACGCTGAAGTTTGAAGCTTGTGCACTTTAAGGTCAGACGCAGGACAGCTGCACTGCACGGCGACAGCCGCCCCGCCCCTCCCTCCTCTGTGGGGCTGTTTAATGTCGGACGAGGAAGTGGCTTTGCTTTATTTACAGASAGCCAGARCRTGTCACGTTCATCAGATAATTAATTCATAATTAATTCACCAGATAATTCAGAGAAGAGGCTCACAGCTCGCTTTCAGGACTATTTTTTTCAGTCTGATGAGTCGCTGCCACGCATTGCTGCGGATCAGGACACGACTGCAGCACTCATTTCAGCTAAAGAGCTCCGCTCCGTCTGTTTCAGGTTAGTGGACCTCATTCAGTAAACTGTCCCGTCGGGAAATATGTCACTACGTCACACAGTGGAGTCTCTCTGATTAGTTGACGCTGCGCGTCGAGCTGCAAAAGTTCAGATTTCCCAACTTCAGCGATTTGGACGATTTGGACGATCTGAGCGTCGAACGCTCAGATCGTCCAAATCGTTCAAATCGCGCTGCTCTAATCGCGCTTGAGGCGCCGCAGAACTTCCCGACGTTGCTTGAAGCGCGTCCACCATAGACTTTGTATGTAAACCTGCTGCTCCTGACGCTGAAATCGCATTCGGTGTGAACGCACCATAAGACACAAAAGCACAGGTTCTCTTCAAAAATTAGGCAACCAAATTTAAGGCTTTTTAATGCCAATTTAATGCCATTTTTAAATAATTTTAATGCCTTGCAAACAATAGTTGCACACAAGATTTTGTTTGTTCTACAGAAGACTGAGTCATATGCTTTAGTTCACTAGCTCTTTTTCCAGTTCAAACATGATCTGCTGCTGCAAGCAACATATATACATTCAGATACCATTTAAATATTTTGCAATATTTTACTTGATAAAAAGTCCAGACCTTCTGATCCCAGACTTTAAAAATGTTAGTTTCTCATAACATTTATCATCAAATTCAAATAGTAAATACATAAAGCAATCAAGTAAAACTTGATGTGTCTGCTGCATCAAACTACAACATTTAAAGTGTGAACAAATAAAAATATAAAAACCTAGTAGGGATTTTGATTAGGGCTGTGAATTAGTGAGAAATTTGTGATATGATAAATATCACGACATATTGTGATTTTTTTCTACCAAAAATTATTATATTAACAGTATGCATGTATAAAACCTGAAACACTGAAGTGTTTGCTTGAAACGGTAACAGTTTTGTACTTCATAAAAAGTCTACATGTTTTGTTCCTAGACTTCAAAAATTTTAGTTTCTCATAAAACTTGTCCTTCAAGCTTTCAAATAGTAAATACTGGTGTCAAACTCTACAGTATGTGCCTGCTGCATAAAACCTTTTTCTACAGATCTGTTTGTGGCTTTATATTTCAATGTTCAAAGTGTGGGTAAACAAACACAAACCTAGTAGGGATATCAACACAAAACCATCATTATTAGTGGGGAAGCCTCATACACCAACAAACGCTCCAATTTCCACAGCATCTGTTCTGCATTCTATTCACTCACTTTAGATGCCCCTATTTTCTACTTGTCAAAAATTCTGAAATGCACGTTCAAATGGTAACAATGAGAAAAAATACCGACGCAAGTGTCCAGACATGCTTTTACAGCAGGTAAAATAAGTATTGAACACGTCACCATTTTTCTCAGTAAATATATTACTAGAGGTGCTAATGACATGAAATGTTCACCAGATGTTGGTAACAACCCAAGTGATCCATACATACAAAGAAATCAAACCATAAATGTCCAGAAATGAAGTTATTTGTAATAATGACCATGATGTTCCCACCTCCAAACGTCACTGTTGGTATGGTGTTTTTGGGCTGATGTGCAGTGC